CAGCACAAAGATGCACACTTGGTGGGCAGAGGACACACAGATAGTTGTGTGGCAAGGTGGTCTGCTTCACTCAGAACTATTTGTAATTAGAAGAAATGGGGCACACGCCAAAGTCCCTGAAAAGAAGCATTCTCCCTTATCAACTTTGCCTTAGAGGGGACAGCAGCTGCCAGCTCAGAGCTTACTCCCAAAATGGGGCCCAGTAATATCCACTTTAGCCTTTAAAGGATATGACCAGGATCAGGGCTAGGGCCAACCCTTCCATCCAACTTCAAGGATGCAGAAGGCACAGCACACAGGCCATATCCCTTCTCCATCTTTTCACACGTCAATTCAGCCCTCGTATGCTCTAGTCCAGCTGTTAGTACACGCCATAAAGTTCTCCAGAGAGCCCTTGGTACTAGGGACTTGCCCATTTCCCTAGACTCAACCCTACAGTAAGTGGTGAACTCACTGTTCTCACTGCAACAGACTGAGGAACACACCAGCCCTATCTTCTCAACAACAGGGGGTCAGAACACCTCACCTGGGGTCAGTGGCATAGCCAAGATCACAAGGATCTATGAAAGCTTGTGTATTTGCTCACTGGAAGACACTAAATGGCCTGCATTTACCACTGGGTTCCATCTGCTCTCAGATACTGTCCCTGGCTCCTTGAAAGTACTCCAGACTCAAGTACATTCAGAGTCAGAGAAAGGCCTCCTACCTACAAGGCCACCACCTGGGAGCATTCCCAGCACCTAGCATTTTCCATGTCCAATTTCTTCAGGCTGGTGACACACTGTGGGTCCTTCCGAGTCTCTACAGATGGCTTTGCATGCCTGACTCATGCTGGTGTCCGTAAGAATGAGGTTTCTCTGCTCTCATCTGCAACACTACCCAGAGAGCTCCCTGCCTACTTGCTAATTCATTGTTTCTTTACAGATGCAAGGGTGTTTAAAAATTTACTCTACACATAACCAGGGCAGAGGGACTGCAATTGTTCTATCCCTTCAGTGCCGTTTAAGTCATCGCTGAGGGTTGGTGAGCAGGCCTGGGAAGAAACACAGGTTTCCCTGGAAACCACAACTCTCTGAGGTATTCCCATCTTTTGGGAAATTTCCATAAGATTTTTTTCTGAATCTCAATCAATGGGGCTGCAGGAAGACCTGCTCCCGGAGAGAAGCTGAGCACATGCTGCCATTCAGTGATCAGGGTTCTCCTCTAAATGCCACATACCGTACAGTCAGAGACCAGACCTTGGGACCCCAAGTGAACATCTCTCCTATCTGCCTCAGGTGAGGACCAAGCCTGTACCTACTCCTCATATGGCCTTCCAACTCCAACTTCCAGGGCTCTTACCAGCTTTGGAGTTAAAAGCAGTTAAGTGGGCCGGGCATCAGTGGTGCACACCTTTAATCCCCAGCACTCAGGAGGCAGAGGCAGGTGGATCTCTGTGAGTTTGAGGCCAGCCTGGTCTACAGAGTGAGTTCCAGGACAGCCTCCAAAACAATACAGAGAAACCCTGTCTCGAAAAACCAAAAAAGAAAAAAAAATCAGTTAAGTGGGATGAGAAAAAGCTACAAGGCAGCCTAGACACCATTCTACTGGGGAAGGAGGCCTATCTGGGCCCAAAGCACCCAAAGACCCTTCCTTGAGCAAGGCCCTGATCCTGGATGTTGCTCTTTCTATGAAACGGGAGGTGACACCTGGTTGGACAGCCTCTGACCACAGCTCTGGAACTACTAGGGTCCCTACAGGGATACCTTGGATACTGTGGACAGAGGGGCCTTGGTGATCAGCCCAAAGAGATGAGCCATGGGCCAGCCCAGAATCTACAGTATAAATCCTCACGGCTTGGTTTTCCACTTAGTTGTTTCAAATGCCTTTTTTTTCCTAGCTGTCTACTGGCCTGGATGTTGGAAGCACCAAGTTGTCTACACTCTCAGCTCTAAGGCAGACCACCTCTCAGCTTACACAGGTAAACATTTTTATCCTCGGTTTCCCCATCAAGCTCCTCTAGCCATCAGGCAATAAGGACAGCATGTGGTAAGGGCAATATGACCCAGCAACTTTTCCCTATGAACCAAGTTACTTGTAGCTACCACCCGCCTCTCCTGAGCACAACGGATGGACATGATCCCCCCCACAATACTCCCATCTTTCTGCCTAGATTTGTCTTTGCTGTGGTTCACTTTTGAGACAGAGCTGGGCAAGCCACGGTGTCTCTGCCTGGGTGACCCCCACACACACACTGCCCTCGCTGAGTGCAGAGCTGTTTCTGAAAATATCTCACACAAGCAGTGCATAGTGGCATCACTTTGTAAAAGGAACAGGGCAGAGCCCTGTGGACCTGGGGTCTTATCAACCATGTTCACCAGGGTCCAAACCGAAGGTGGCCACTTCCCTCATGACTCTGGACTGTGGCTGACCTTCGGAGATCCAGCAGGACTGGCCAAGAGGCTGGTACAACTGGACCTCTGACAAACCAGGCTTTCATGGCCCAGGAAAACCCAGCACTGCTTAGATGAGGGACTCACTTCTATGAGCCTTGGCTCTGTTTCCCACCCCCAGATACCAGGAGGGGCTGCATCTTCTTTACTAATTAGTGAACTAACCAAATGCTGTCTAACACAGAGTGGCCCACTCTGTGGCTGTCAACTGTCAATGCAAGAGCTGACCACAAGCTCAGGAATCTCAAGCCAGTGGGTTACCTAAATCAGATAGGGGTCAGTGTGGAGAATTCCATGTCTGGAAACCGAGGGGGTGGGTCATGAGCAACAAAGGCAGTCAGAGATGTGTCATCATTCATAATGGGATCAAAAGGCAAGCCTAGAAAACATCAGTTGGTCTTTACAAAGTCCAGGGAGCCAGAAGTGGCTGTTACCACCTTACTGATGAAAAGATAAGGCTAACAGGGGTTCTGAAACTAGATACTTGTGTCTGGCCCCAAGTTAGCAACCAGAAACTCTCTGGTCTTCAATGTTCTCTCTCTCTCTCTCTCTCTCTCTCTCTCTCTCTCTCTCTCTCTCTCTCTCTCTCTCTCTCTCTCTCTCTCTCTCTCTCTCCTGACCCCAATCCCAAGACACCTCCCTGCAAGAGCCAGCCACAAAGTAAAGATGCCAAGGGGCCTGCAGGATGCCTTTATGCTACAGGTCTAAACCCTAACCAAAGTCTGGCACATTTCAGGGGCAGGGGTTACTCTATGAGGCACTGGGGCAGACTTGGGGATATGTAGGAGGGAGGAGGACAGAGTCCATAAAACAAGGGCCTCCCACACTGGACTCTGAGCTCTGGATGCTGCTGGTTTTAGGAAACAGGATGCAGGCATCAGAAATGGAGATGCTAACAAGTCAGACCCAGGAACAGGACAGGGCCCCGTGGAAGCTACAGACAAACAAAAAACAAAAGAAACAAAAAGAATCCCAGATAACTCCTGGATACCCACGCCCAGCCCTGTGGACACAGGATCTCATCCTGTCTGTGTCCCAGGAGTCACCTAGGGCCAGGACCTGGCTATCTAAGCCAGCCACAGTAGAAACCCTTAGGCCCCAAGACAGGCAGAGAGAAGGTGGCTACAGCAGAAGGACCATGAGAGACAGACACATGGACTCTTCCTTGGAGTAGAGAGAAATACAGCACCTGGGTAGAAGAAAATCAAATTCACCTCTCTGGAAGGGGTGGGGGGCTGACACCACCTTCTGCTCCCCTTGGCCAGCCTATCTGGAGAAACCTCTATTAGGACTACCCCCAGGAGCGCACACACACACACACACACACACACACACACACACACACACACACACACACACCAGGTTGTGGCTACTCCCAGGACATCATTCTGCAGGCAGCCCCCAGAATTTCCCTCTATGGACCTTCCCTCATCCCCGAACCTAACTAAATCACTTACAGAACACTCCCAGACACATTGGCCCACTCACAGGACACACACTCTGTCAAGGCCAGGACAGGTGGGTACCTTGATAGAGACTTTTCCTGAACATGGGTCTCACTCCCATCCCCAAATGCTTTTCATACAAAATGGCCGAGTCTCAGTGCTCCTCCTCTGTCCCTGGTTCCACTGGAATGGGAGAGCCAACGTCCTTGCACTGGGAGGTTATGCATACTAACACCACACACACACACACACACACACACACACACACACACACACACACACGAACACTCATATACTCATGAATGCAGGGTTGCCTCTGCCAGCTCTGCCCCAGGAGGAGTGCCAGACTTGGGGACAAGGACCAGCACCTTCCAGGCCCAAAACTGGCAGTGCTGGGGGATAACAGCGGTCCCTACTGCTGATCCCCACTTAGGGATTTAGAGCCCGGAATGTATAGAGGGGCCATCAGGTGCGAAAGGGTTGCTTGGAACATAGAGGACAAGGAGAATGGGCCTCCACGGATGGGTGTAAGCAGCTGCCCTCAGCCCAGGGCTGAGGTGATGTGATGTTAGGTCCCCTCCCCATTTCTGCAACCCGGAAGCTCAGATGGGTAGCAAGAGGTTAGGAGGATGGATGAGAAGAGGCCAGCCCTCTTCACCACCCCTATTTGGTTGTCGGGGAGATCCATGGGTGCAGAGGGGCGGATGAGTTCAAACCTAGAGCCTAGCCTAGCTCTCTCCTCGCCGGCCCTTTGTTCCGCGCTGCGGGCCGTGGGGAGGGGCCTCTAGGGCTGAGGGGGGCTGGGGCACCAGCACATCCCGTCCTGCGGGGGGGGGGAGGAGAGGAAGGGCTGGAACAATCCAGCAAGGCGGATGTAAAGACCCCCCTTCCCCCCAAAAAATGAGTCCAATATGATCTCCAAAGTCACTCTCCAGTCTCTGTCCTTCGCTTCAAACCAGGGACTGCAGTGCCGTGACCCAAACCCCACGCCCACGACGCGACCCAGGCGCGCGCGGACACGCATACCAGGGCCCCTCAGTCCACCGCAGCTGCGCCCGCAATCAACCCACGACCGGGCTAGGGTCTCGCCGGCCCACCGCGCACCTCACTGCGGGCCACTTACACGTAGGCGTGGTAAATGAACGCCCAGCCGCGGGGCCGCTCCAGCACGTTGTAGAGGAAATTCTGCAGCTTTCGGTAGAAGGCGTTGCGCTTCGGGGGCTTCCCGGCTCCCGCACCGCCCGCGCGCGGCTTGCTCAAAACGCTGCCGCGCTTGGGGGCCTCGGAGCCGGCGATGAGCAGCGCGCCGTCGCGAGTGGAGTCGGGCGCGCCCGGGTCCAGCCCCACGAAGCCCACCTTGAGCTTCTTCTCCCCGCTAGTGCCGGGGTACACGCCACCGTTGCGCGACTTCTGCACCATGGTGCCTGCTGCGCCCAGTTGGGCGCGGGCTCAGCGGGGACGGCGCGCGGGGGGTGGCGCGGGCCCCAGCCCAGGCCTCCGGTCCGGCAACCGCATGACCGAGGCGGCTGCGGCTCCGCGTTCCTACCTGGCCCGGCCGCGCGCGGGGACGCAGCAGCCACCAGGCTCCGCGCGCGCCTCGGAGCCTGGCCCGCTTCCGTGAGGGCTCCGCCCGCCGCCCCGCCCCGCCTGCCTTAACCCCTACGACGCCATTGCAGGAGCAAGCAAGAAGAACAGGTCCAGGTGTACTGCCTCACCAAGCAACCCTTCCCACTCTCTTAGCCTGGCAATCCTTGACAGGGAGTCCAACAATGCTGTCACCTCTGAGAAGGGCAAAGCTACACAAGTAAGCTCTGTGACCCAGCTCCAGCTCCCTGGGGAACCCCAAAGTGGGGCCAGAGTCGACCTGGGGTGAAGTGGACGCCTTTGGGAAAGGAGGACATTGGCCACTATGAAGTTCTGAGTTAAAGATCAGCCCACCGGGATCTTAGCTCTTAGCATCAAGTGGACCAGGCATCGGACTCCATCTCTTTTCTGGATATGCAAGGAAGTCTGTAGAGGCTCTCCAAGAAGTAGCCGGAGCAGTGCCAAAAGCCCACTCCAGGCTTACTGAGACAACTGGATCTGATTAAGAGAAGAGGCGCCACTGCCGGGGGTGGGGGGGGGTGCACGCCTTTAATCCCAGCACTCGGGAGGCAGAGGCAGGTGGATCTCTGTGACTTCGAGGTCGGGCTGGACTGATAGCCTCCAAAACAATGCAAAGAAACCCTGTCTCGTAAAAACCAGAGAGAGAGAGAGAGAGAGAGAGAGAGAGAGAGAGAGAGAGAGAGAGAGAGAGAGAGAGAGAGAGAGAGAGAGAGAGAGAGAGAGAGAGAGAGAGAGAGAGAGAGAGAGAGAGAGAGAGAGAGAGAGAGAGAGAGAGAGAGAGAGAGAGAGAGAGAGAGAGAGAAGAGGCGCCAGCCCAATCCACTCAGTCAGAGGAGGTCTTGGGTTTCCAGAGGAGAAAAAGTGCTGCCCAATCCCTGCGCAGACTGGCATTATCATGACCTCTCTGGGTCATCTTCTCCATGTAAGTCTCTAAAGAGAACTATGTAAGGCAGGCTGGAGAGATGGACTCAGTAGTTAAGAGCGCTGACTGCTCTTCCAGAGGACCTGGGTTTGGTTCCCAGCACCCACATGGCAGTTAACGACTGTCTGTAAGTAACTACGCTTCCAGGGGGAGTCAACACCTTCTTCTGGCCTCCTTGGGCACTGCAAATGTGTAGTACACATCTTAAATAATACTTTTAAAAACAACTAGTTAAGTGACTACAACTCATAGATGGCAACTGGGAAGGGCCTGGCTCATCTTATCCCTCCTCCCGGGGCAGCCATTTTTTTTTCTGATTAGAAGTCAGAGACCTGAGGGACAAAAGGCCCTAAGCATGGAAATGTGTTCCAAGAGTAGGCTCCGGGAGGAGGGCAAACTTCAAGGCTGTCTGTACTTCCATAACATCAGCAGAGACAAACTTGCTCACCTTCTCTCTCAGGAAAAAAAAAGAATAGAGACACATCCCTGAGGTTGTTAAGAGCCATCGGTGAGCCCCACTAACTCCCTGATACTTCAGAGTAAGAATACACACACACACACACACACACACACACACACACACACACACACTAGGAAAGCTCATAGGGGAGTTATATTGGCTCACATACCACTGCATTCCCAAGATCTCTGTTCTCTACCAATGCTGTTTGTACCAACGGTTTTGCCACACATTTCAGAAGATTCTAGAAAGTGACTCCTTCATCGTGGCTTATAGCTCCCTGCTTCCTCTGCTTAGGAGGACTTCCCAGCAAGCTGGCTCATTAATCATTTATGTTTTTTTTAATATCATGCCTTGCATACCTATGGGCCGTGCACTGTCAGCAGCTCAGTTACCAGTGTACCACTGGTCTCCCCAAGACCCAAGAAAATGGGTCATGAACAACCAAGTCAGAAAAGCAACAGGAATTATTTTATTTAAAAGTAGACGGGAAAAGCATACAGGCTCAGGCCATCTTTGCCAAGGCCGCATCGACAGAATTCCAGAGGGTGGGGTGGGGTGGAAAAATTCAGAGGCATGGCACATGATACCCAGCTCCAGCTGGGGAAGAGCCCTGGTCCAGGCTGCAGGCACCAGCAATGTCGTCCTTCAACCAGGCGCTGTCCCTTCAGCACCTCCTTCACAACCTGCCTGTTAGCTCTCCTGCTCCTGGGAGTCTAGGTGGGCGGCTCCCCTGTTCTGCTACCCTGAGCTACTTGAAGCAGGCAGAGACGTTGGACCATCAAAACCCAGGATCACACTGACTTCTGCTACATCAAAGAGCAGTTTGAAGTTCTTGCCAATACCCACTGCCCTTGAAATCCTATACAAAACAAATGGCCGGGGACATGGGTTGGTGGTAAAGTTCTTGCTTAGCATACATAAAGTCCTGCCTTCCATCCCCAGAGCCTTTTTAAAACTAATGTAATTTGTTCAGGAATAGTGGCTCACTCTTGTAATTCCAGAACTCGGGAGCTAAGACAGGAGGAGTACCAAAAGCTTCACGGTCTCAAGAAACAAGCAGTAAGGGGGCTGGAGAGATGGATCACTGGTTATGAGCATTAGATGCTCTTCCAGAGCATCTGGGTTCAATTACCAACACCCATATGACAGTTCCCAACTATCTATAGCTCCAGTTCCAGGGGACCTGGCATCCTCATACAGATATGCATGCAAGCAAAACTCCAACACATATTTTTTTAAAAATCTTTTTTAAAAAATCCAAAAAGGCTGGGCAGTGGTGGCACATGCCTTTAATCCCAGCACTCAGGAGGCAGAGGCAGGCAGATCTCTGTGAGTTTGAGACCAGCCTGGTCTATAAGAGCTAGTTCCAGGACAGCCTCCAAAACCACAGAGAAACCCTGCCTTGGAACTCCTCCCCCCCAAAAATTTTTAAAAAAGAAACAAGGAATAAAATCCAAGAGGTTATGGCCACAGATTTTCTGCCTGGGTCTTCCTGAGCTTGTATCTTTGTACCCAGTGTCCCAGAGACTGGTACAGGTAAGTGTCTAAAAGCCAAGGTTATTGTGGCAGCTCATGGTGGAGGCCCACCAGCATATCCTCTGGAGATCTGCACACAGCAATGCGGGTCAGAGGAACCCCAGTGCTTTCTGGATGGAGGCCCACCATCTCTTCCCCTCCAGCTGAGGTTGGGGCTCTGTTCTCACAGACACCAAGCACAGGGAGCATGAATGGAAAGGTTGTTCAGCCTCCATGGTCTGTGCTGGCCACACTGTCAGAAGCCTAGGGTGAAGCCCCAGAGAGTATGGGCAGGCAGTTGCCACCATCTGAAACCCCTGCTGGAAAGCCCAGCTTCATACTTTCAGCACACCTGACGGTTACATAATAGCATTCACACCCAGGAGTTTAGTCGTCCTCCTTCTAAGGGTCAACGATCACAGCAGTACATGGGGATGCTCCCCACTGCAGCCCTTCTGACAGAGACCTACTTCCAAACAAGATCTCAAGAAGACAGAGCAGCTGCTGAGGACCAGAAGGGAAAACGCTGCCAGCCGGGAAACAGACTCAATTTGGGGAAATGAGAAGAGACAGGTTCTCAGTCACTCTGGCTGGGCAGAGCTGTGGTTGTTTTAATCCTATAATTTGGGCAACAGGAAGTGCCTACCCAGGCAGAAAGGCCCCCCTCAAAGGAATTTTCCACTATTAAGAAGCAGGACTGTGTTAGTCTGGATCATGGAGAGCAATGAAGTGAGGAAAAGACAAGTTATGAAAGCATTGTGTTTTTTTTTTTTTGCTTTTTTAATTTGACAGGAACTGATTGAAATCAATAGGAATTTAATTTATAGTTGTTGCAATTTTTTAAGGACCAGAGCTCTCAACAAGCTGACCTAGCTAGCCCCTGGCAAACTAGCTAATTACATGAGGAACTGAACTTGTACTTCCCAGCCACCGATAATAGTTTCACTGCAGAAGTCCCCACTGCGGTGACAGAGACCGCTAGGGAATGGTGGCGACCCTAGAAGTGTCCAAAGAGGTCCCAAGACAAGCTTTCCAGACTTCTAGAAAGCTCTGACCTCTTTTGTCAAAGCCAAAGTGGTGTTAAGGGCAGGGCCAAGCCTGCTATAGAGTGTGGCCCCCAGGGGACCTTTGGCAGTCCAACGGTTTGACTCAATTTGCTTGAGCAAATCCTGCACTAGACTCAATTTGTTTGTGTCTCCCAAATTGACTTGTTAGAGTCCTACCCCAAATCGATGGTATACGTTCAGGGCATCTGGGGAGGAGCAAATGTTGAGGATGGAGCCCCATGCTCCTGTTCAAGGCTAGGGAAAGAGTTGAGGTGTAAGTATGTTCTCTGCCCCCTGCTGTATGAGGCCACTGGGAAAGTTGTAGGCCCAGAGGCAGATCCTGCCCATCCTGGACTTCCACCTCCAAGACTGGGAAATAGATTTCTCTGTTTAAGTCTTGGCTTTGGGTTCTTGTGCTACAGCTTCCAACGAAGTCTCCAGTCTTGCTCTAGCAGAAGGAGAATCACAGTCTCCTATTAGAACAGGACAAATGGCAAAACAGCCTGACCTTCTATGTCCAGCTGCTCAAAGACAGAAGAGTGCCCACAGAGACCCAGGTCTAAGCACTCACCTCTCCCATGATTCAAATACAGACCTTCCCACGGCTGCAGCAGAAGGGGTAATGCCATATAACTCAAGGTTGGTTCTTGGGAACAAGACGGTAAAACGTGCACTGTAGAGAGGCTGTCTGTTCCCAAAACTAGCACAATCACACTTAATATGGCGCCACAGTGTAAAGACATACCACCCCCACAAGAGAATTATCCAACTCAAATGCCATTGGTGCTAACCCTAACCCTAACCCCAACCATATCCTTTCCTTTTGTTGTTGTTATTGTTTTGGGTGTTTTTGAGATTGTAATATAACTATATCATTTCCATCACCTTTTCCTCCCTCCAAAGCCTCTCATATAACCCTCCTTGCTCTCTTTCAAATGGGAGCTTTCATGGTTCTAGAAAGCACCATGCAAGCTTCCAAAGAAAGGACACAACCAACAGTCAGTCCTACCTAGCTATGATGC